CAATGACATGAGACAAAGTATATGTGAACTGCTGTATGAGAAGTGAATTTACTCTGTAAATCTTCACCCAAATCCTAATTAAAAAAAAAAAAAAATTATCCACTGGCTGACTTGGTGCCAGTGGTTAAAAAAAAAAGGTGGAAAAAAAAATCATTCCCTTTAGATGATAGCATACACATGCTTCTAGCAACTAACCTATCATACAACGAATCTATCATACAACCTGAATATTGCCGAGAGGTTTTGCCAAAAACTCCAGAAGGAAGAAGGTGCTGAGCTGACCGGGTTTGTTATTTCTTTCAAATAATTTCTTTGTGGGGAACATAAATCCTAGAAGTCTTTCAAGGGAGTTGTCTCAAAACTATAGTGTTGAAAACAAGGTAACAAGAGTCAACATGATTGATAGCCATCTTTAGAGAAGGACTAAAGTTGAGGGCAAATGACTTGTATTACTCAGTGTCCGATTACCCAGTAAGCAAGGGAAGTGTAGGCTTAGTTGTGCTTGCTTACTAGTCTGTACTGGAGACTCTTAACTATAGATTAGTAAGTAAGCACAACTAAGCCTGTGCTTACCTTGCTTATTGGGTAATCTGCCTCTGCTATTACTACATCTACATTAAGCTTAAAAGAAGGACCTATAACTTCGGGTGGAGATTAAGTTTCTGGGTCATGTTATCAACATGGCATTGTGTCAGGCAGAAAAATTAAACCTATACCCTTCTATTCCCTGCACCATGAATTACAAAACCAGTATATTTGGCAGACACCACATTTCTCCCAGAAAATTCACTTTCTATGGGGGAGAAACCACAGCCTGCTGGCCTCTGAAAGGCTTTTCTGTTTCCCTATTACCATTTGCTGTTACTCCTGAGAGTCTGTGTCTTGGCTGTAATCAGACACCATCTTCTTTTCAGTGTCAGAGCAAAGCCTGACACACTGTAGGGTCTCAGTATATATTTGTTTGTTGCTTAATTGTAGTCCCTTGCTAGGCCCATGGCTGCTTAGTAATGCTTGTACAATGACCATAGACGTGAAGAAACCCTGAGTACAGTCAAGGGTCCCTGGAAGCTTCCTGGAGAAAGCAGCAGTGACAACAGAGATGGCTACTCAGGAGGCAGGATTGCCTGGTGGTTAACCACACGACTCCGCAGCTGGGGACTCTGGACACAGTTCTGGCTTTGCCACGTGCTAAGTGATCTTGGTCAAGTTACTTATTCTTTTTTTAAGCTTCCATTTTCTCATCTCTAAAAATGGTGATGATGATAATAATATTTTCCTCCTAGAGTTTCTGTGAGGATTAAATGAGACTGTGCTAGAAGCATTTGGTACACAACCCATACTCAATAAATCAAAAAATCCTTCTAAACTGATGGCGAGTTTTGTGTTTCTTGTAAAGTTGCTGCAGCAGCTCCAGGTGGAGATGTTTCTGTGTGGTGGTATTCCGGAGGCTGCTGATGGTTGGAGGCCGAATGTCAAGGCTGAAGTTTTCATTCTGCTCTAGGATTACCATGTGCAAATACAGGAAAACTGCTGTGCCTCAAATTCTCAGCAGGCCCCACTCATACTACATGCGAGTCCTAAGATTACACGAGTTGTGGGAATGATGAGATTAATTGTTTTCCCCTGGGAAAAGGTTTAAGTTCTTCACTTTCCAATTTCTGTTTCAGTTTTACACCTGCAATAGAACTCAAGGAAAAAGGAAAGAAAGGCAAAGCAGTTCACTTTGCTGAAACTGATGGTCCAGCTTCTGACAGGTAATTTAGCTTCCCAGCCATGCCAGTCTTGCTCCTTGCACCTCCCAGCCAAATGGTTAAGCCTTACAAACTCTAAGAAAACAACATTCCCATTATCCTAGATTGAATACATATACCCATCAAGGAAAGAACATGCACTGTTTCAGAACTGTGATGAGAATTAGAGTAGTTCCTATACCCTTGTGGTAATTTGAAAAGCAGCAAGTTTTCAACTTTTTAATGCTTTTTTGTAATCTGAAAATGATGGTTACACCATAAAACGATAATTTAAATGATCTGTTTTGGATGGAATTGATATTTACATTTTGTATTGAGCAGTGTACGTTTCTCCCACGCCTAGCACAGTAAATATAATGTTTAATGAAATGTGTTCCAAAATGATCTTCCAGTAAATGTAACCCACATGTGACCCTTAGTCTCTCATTGTTATTGGGTACCTTCTTGTGGCTGTCAAATCTAACTAGTGGGAAAGCCAACCTTCAGTAATGGGTATATCCCTTAACTGTTATGTAAACATAGTGCAGTCTTTATGGGTCTCTAACAACATGCTCTCCATGCTCCTGGTCCTGGGACTTTATTTGAAGTTCCTCTTTCTTGCCCTGATTCTTTGGTCTCAGGTCTTTGAGACTGAGTCCTGAGAGGGCGGTTGACTCGAGTTTTGACTCATAGCAACCCCATGTGACAGAGAAGAACTGCCCCATAATTTTCTAGGCGGTAATCTTTATGGAAACGTGTCACCAGGTCTTTCTCCCTGAAACCGCTGGGTGAGTGTGGCCAAGCATTTAACTGTTGGCCAGCTAAAGCTTCATGCATTTCAGGATAGATTAAATGATACTAAAACTTTTAAAACACTACTGGAGACTGTAATATTCCAAAACAGGATGACAGATAAAAGAATTGCTGCTAGAGATGATAAGTCAACTAAAGCCTCAGAGAAGAGAGGTCAGCAGGGCTACATCACACTAGATGACGTTAAATGTGAGTAACTGTTCCTCACCCTCACAATGTGTTGTCTGCTGTGAACCCCTAAGGCTACTCAGTGTCCCTCTTTCAATTGTCCATCTTCTCTCCTTTCAGATGTTGCTTTGCTTTTGCTACAAGAGACTGAGATGCAGCGGATCTGTTCTTTCACAACATTTATGAAGTAAGTATTGCTAAAATGACGCATTTTAGATCCTTTGCCCTTTACTTTGAAGTAATTCCATTTGATGTGTGATGACAGATCTGATTTTTGGAGAAAGGGCAGAAGGCTGGCTCTATGCAAACTGCGCTCTCAGGACTCAATCTGAAAGACCTGAGACCAAAGAATCAGGGCAAAAAAGAGGAAGTCATGGAACTCCAAATAAAGTCCCAGGACCAGAAGCATGAAGAGCATGTTGTCAGAGACCCATCGAGACTGCACTATATTTACATGACAGTTAAGGAATATACCCATTACTGAAGGTCGGCTTTCCCATTAGTTAGATTGGACAGCCCCAAGAAGTACTTGGTGAGGGATTGTGAGAAAGATACTTGACATGTCTAAGCCTCAGTTTCTTCAGCTACAAAATTGGGAAGTAATAGTGTCTCCTTCTTATGACTATGTGTAGAAAGTGCTTCACGTGGCACCTGGCACTTAGCGAATTCTCAGTGAGAGTTGTGTTCTGGATGCCAATTGCACCCACCCAAGTCCCCTCAGCGTTGACTTGAAGGCTTCTGGTGGCAGACACCCGAGATTCTTTGCCTGCCAGCTTTATTCTACTGTAAAGCACACTCAGCCTGACCACAGGGCAAACTAGCAGCACTAGGGAATCAGAGCCCGTAGCAGCAGCCCTCTACCAATCACGTGACAGAGGGAGGTTTGGTGGATAAATGCCCCAGCCTCCTTGTCCGTCATTTGGGATAACTGCAACTTGTTTTCTACACTCTCTCCTGGAGTCCCCACAAGATTGAGCTACATTTTTCCTCAGGGATAACTAACTTATTGACACACCCTTAGTTGGTTTAGCTAGTAGTTGAGCACTTAACTGTTTGTGCCACCTGTTGTTGTGTTGTTGTTATGTGCCATTGAGTCGGACCCGACTCATAGCAACCCCTCCTTGGGTTTCCGAGGTGGTGTCACTACAGAAGTAGATTGCCCCATCTTCCTTCCAAAGAGAGGCTGGTGGGTTTGAACCCCCAGCCTTCTGGTTGTTAGCAGTCAATTGCCATAGACACTATGCTACCAGAGCTCTTTTGTGCCAGCCAGAGACTCCTTATTAGAGAGTAAGACTTATGAAAATTTAACATGTGCATACATTAACACTTTTAGGAATTTGCTCAAAGATATGGCTATAAGGATAATTATTGGAGCAATGCCTTTAAGTTTTCAAAAATATCTAAATACCCATCAATAAAGACTAAACAAAACCAACCCTGTTTCCGTTGTGTCCTACTCATAAAACCAAACCAAACCAAACTCATTGCCATTGAGTCAATTCCGACTCATAGTGACCCTCTTTGGGTTTCTGAGGTGGTAAATCTTTGCAGAAGTAGATTGCCCAGTCTTCCTTCTGCAGAGTGGCTGGTGGGTTTGAACTGCCAGCCTTCTGGTTAGCAGTCAAATGCCTTAGGCACTATGCCACCAGAGCCCCTTAGTCCTACTCATAGCAACCTTATATGACAGACTAGAACTGTCCATAGAGTTTCCAAGGCTGTAATCTTTATGGAAGCAGATTGCCACATCTTTTGCCCACGGACCAACTGATGAGTTCAAACCACTGACGTTTCAGTTAGCAGCCAAGCACTTAACCAGTGCACCACCAGGGCACCTTAATAGAGGCTCCTTAACAGAGGGTCAGCTAAAAAGAGGAAGACCCTCGACAAGATGGGTTGACACCAGCTGCAACAGTGGGTTCAAACATAGCAACAACTGTGAGGATGGTGCGGGACCAAGCAGAGCTTCATTCTGTTGTTTGTAGAGTCTCGATGAGTCAGGTCTGACTCAGCGGCACCTACCAACAACAGTTAAGTAAATTATGAGATGCAAAATACTATATTCTGCTGTTTCAAAGAATGAGGAAAATCGGTATGTGGTATCGTGGAAGAAAATCTATGCTACACAGGTAAATGACAAAAGCAAATTGTAAAAAACTGTGTATATAGTATGATCCCATCTGTAACCCCCCAAAATTTAAGGCATATATTTATGCATGTGTATGTACATTGGGGCATGTGGCATGTGTGGTGGCATGATTGTTATGCTTTAAAAAATTTAGGAAGGACTTATGCCAAACTTACAATTTTTAAAAATTTTATTAAATTTATTGATACAACCAATAGGTTTAGCAATGTTTTATCATTATTTTCTTAATACTTAAGATGTGTACACATGGATGGAGTTCCTGTGTGTTGTATGTGCTTCACACACTTCATTGCTAACCAAAAAGTTGGAGGGTCAAGTCCACTGAGAGATGACTCGGAAGAAAGGCCTGGCAATCTGCTTCTGAAAAAAATCAGCCATTGAAAACCCTGTGGGGCAAAGTCTGCCTCTGACACACATGGGTGGCCATGTGCTGGGACTGACACAGTGGCAGCTGGTACTGGCTCACATTAATACAAAGTATTTCACTTACAGTCCACATACATTCTTGGCTTTTTTTTTTCTACCTTTATTTTGTATCTTTAAAGGATTAAATTTTTGTTCTGTTGGCTATAATCATATTAATATCTTGAAATCCTAATTATACTTTTAGACAGAGAATGTCAGGTAGAGTGACTAGAACGTTTGAAGACAAAATATATGAGTAGTGTAGTTGATTTACATACTAGCTCACAGAATAAATCCAGTACACTGGTTGGAAAATAAGCTTTGGATACCGCATCACTGAGATGATTATGAAGGGCCTGGTCAAGTGAATTGGGTTAGCTACAGTTTTTTGTATACCACAGTCTTTCTTTTTTCTTTTTTTTAGAAAATGCATTTTATTGAAATACAATTTATGTACAGTGAAATACACAAAACTAAAGTGACATGGGTCAATGC